GTGTTCCTTATTCATGTCTCAAACTTCAGTTTCACCAATACATCATCCTCGCTTATCAGTTAATGCTTCATCAGAAAGGAGTGATTTCTGTCTTATGCACACACTCCCAAAGATCAAAGGGACCCATCAATGGGATCCATGGGGCTTTGCCTCTGGCACCGCCACTTTAGCTGGGACCTTGCTCCCAGCCAGCGTTTTTCCCATTTTCAGGTAACCCTTACTTTGCCTTCTGTTAGGAGTTGCGGCACCCGACAACTGTGGGCGGTATGGGATGTGGAAATGCCAATCAATGTGAAGATCAGTTGTTAGAGACTGTACCACCTGTGAAGTGAATTTGGGCCCATTGTCAGATTGTAGGGACATGGGGACACTGAACCTGGCAATGATATGGCTAGCAAGGATAGTCCCTACTGTTGCTGCTCATTTATTTGAGGTTGGATACGCTTCTACCCACCCAGAAAAGGTGTCCACAAAGACAAGGAGGTATTTTAGGTTGCGTACTGGGGTCATGACAGTGAAGTCGACCTGCTAGTCCGCTCCTGGGAGTTGTCCCCGAACTTGATGGGTAGTAAAGTTTCCCCGGTTTTAGAGGTGTATTGGGGTTGGTTCGCTGGCAGATGGAACATTGTGAGGTAATGCTTTTTATGAGTTCCTTATGTTGGGAAGTGAGAGTGTAAAAGTTTGTTAGGAAAGACGTCAGTGCAGAAGGATTGGTGTGAAAGATTGAGTGTAGGTATGGGATAAGGTCTGTAATGGAGGGGGAGGTTGAGGATGGTGAATTAGTGGCGAGTGTGCGGTCTGGGTCAGGGCAAGCAAAGGGTTACACAGGAGATCGTTCACATACTGAATAAGGGTGGATTTGGTAAGTGAGAAAAACTTAAGATCTGCTGCTAAGGTTTGACTGAACAGGTGGGGGCTATCTCGAAAGCCTTGTAGTAGGACTGTCCAAGTGAGTTGTTGTGAATGGCAAGATATTGGATCAGTCCACGTGAATGCGAAAATCGTTTTGTGAGTCTGCTGCCTGGGGGATGGTAAAGAATGCATCTTTAAGGTTGAGAACCGAGAAGTGAGTAGTGGTTGGAGGAATTGAAGATAAGATGGTATAGGGATTAGGAACTAGCGGGTGGATGGGGATGACAGCTGCATTAATGAGTCTTAGATCCTGCACTAAGCAGTAAGTGCCGTTTGGTTTTTGTACCACTAAAATGGGGGTATTGAACGGGGAGTTAGTGGGGCACAGATATCCCTTTTGTAGCAAAGAGTTAATGACAGGTTGGAGT